TGCCGTGGGGGAAGAAGAGCAATGCCCCGCAGTGGGTCTGTGTGTGCCCCATGGGTTGCATTCAAGCAGTAACCCATTGCCCAAACCTTTGGGAAATAGGGAAGGCCAGCTGAGAGAGGCAGGGATGGAGCAAGGTCTTCATAAACTGGCAGGAATCACCTCGTGGAATTACACATTGATTAAGCACCACAACCTTGGAATGGTGATGTTGTGCAATGACTTGTGAGTGAAGGCAGCCGGTGTGCAGTTATGGCTACAACTAAGTGTCTTGTGTGTCTCATAGAATCCATAGAATCAAAGAGTTGGAAGAGACCTCCTGGGCCATCATCCAGTCCAACCCCCTTCTGCCAAGAAGCAGGAATATTGCATTCAAATCACCCCTGACAGATGGCCATCCAGCCTCTGTTTAAAAGCCTCCAAAGAAGGAGCCTCCACCACACTCCCTCTGGGGCAGAGAGTTCCACTGCTGAACGGCTCTCACAGTCAGGAAGTTCTTCCTCATGTTCAGATGGAATCTCCTCTCTTGTAGTTTGAAGCCATTCCTCCATTGCGTCCTAGTCTCCAAGGAAGCAGAAAACAAGCTTGCTCCCTCCTCCTCCCTGTGGCTTCCTCTCACATATTTACATGGCTATCATATCTCCTCTCAGCCTTCTCTTCTTCAGGCTAAACATGCCCAGCTCCTTAAGCCGCTCCTCATAGGGCTTGTTCTTCTGCCACATGCAGTGTAGGGAGATGTGCAGTGCACATCATGTTGCAACAACCTTGTGCCACTCTGCTTCTGCAAATCTCCGCTAACTATGAGCATAAATGTTGTTATTTATTTATTTGTCATGTCAGGGCAGCCAGTCAATTATATTACATTTCTAACAGAACAAAGAAAACAAACAGACAAAATACAAAATTTGCAAACTTGGTAGTGATTAAATGTCCTTTGACCAGTATCTGGCCACTTGGAGTGCCTCTGGTGTTGCCGCAAGAAGGTCCTCCATTGCGCATGTAGCAGGGCTCAGGTTGCATTGCAGCAGGTGGTCAGTGGTTTGCTCTTCTCCACACTCGCATGTTGTGGATTCCACTTTGCCCCATTTCTGAAGGTTGGCTCTGCATCTCGTGGTGACAGAGCGCAGTCTGTTCAGCGCCTTCCAAGTCGCCCAGTCTTCTGTGTGCCCAGGGGGGAGTCTCTCATTTGGTATCAGCCATTGGTTGAGGTTCTGGGTTTGAGCCTGCCACTTTTGGACTCTCGCTTGCTGAGGTGTTCCAGCGAGTGTCTCTGTAGATCTTAGAAAACTATTTCTTGATTTAAGCTCGTTGACGTGCTGGCTGATACCCAAACAGGGGATGAGCTGGAGATGTCTCTGCCTTGGTCCTTTCACTATTGGCTGCTACTTCCCGGCGGATGTCAGGTGGTGCAATACCGGCTAAGCAGTGTAATTTCTCCAGTGGTGTAGGGCGCAGGCACCCCGTGATAATGCAGCATGTCTCATTAAGAGCCACATCCACTGTTTTAGCGTGGTGAGATGTGTTCCACACTGGGCATGCATACTCAGCAGCAGAGTAGCACAGCGCAAGGGCAGATGTCTTCACTGTGTCTGGTTGTGATCCCCAGGTTGTGCCAGTCAGCTTTCGTATGATATTGTTTCTAGCACCCACTTTTTGCTTGATGTTCAGGCAGTGCTGCTTGTAGGTCAGAGCACGGTCCAGAGTGACTCCCAGGTATTTGGGTGCGCTGCAATGCTCCAGTGGGATTCCTTCCCAGGTGATCTTCAGAGCGGATGCTTGTCTGTTCTTAAGGTGAAAGGCACATGTCTGTGTTTTGGATGGGTTGGGGATCAGTTGGTTTTCCCTGTCATAGGCAGTAAGGGCACCTAGAGCTTCAGAGAGCTTCTGTTCTATCACAGAAGCAACCAGCATAAATGTTATAATAATAATAATAATAATAATAATAATAATAATAATAATACTATTTATACCCCGCTCCATTTCCCCCATTAATACAGAAAACACAATATTATGCAAAAACATAACACAATATAACATCAAAGCATAACAGAACTAAGAAATAAAACATACAATGCAAAACCAATATAAAATCAGACATTAAACACACAGGATTACGTGGGGCAGGGCCAAATTTAAGAATAAAAAAAATAAAATTTTAAAACACTGGGAGACTGGGCAATGGAAACTGATTGAGGAGGGAGATCCGGGTTGAGGAAGGAGTTAATTGCAGGGACCATAAAATAAAGTGCTTCTGGGGACACTTATGCAAAACTGGGTCAGGGTGTGAGGTTGGAATGGGACTCTGGGCCTGGCCTTGCCCACCGGCATCTCTGGCGTGGCCCAGTGCCTGGGTGCGCCCATCTGCCTGCCTGTCCCGCTCCCACCAGACTTTGCCCCAGGGCTCTGCCTACATTCACAGCTGCTGCCTTGCAGGGCCTGCTCGTAACTGGCTCCTCCGGCTATTTGGAGCCAGGACTGCTTCCCCATCCATGGGCGTGGCAGGGCCCCGTTTGCAGAGGAGTGCCCAGGGACTCAAAGGCAAGGTGGCCAGTGTGTGTGGCGGGAGCATCGGACCAGGGAAACGGTCTTGGGTTGGGTTGTTGTAGGTTTTTTCAGGCTATATGGCCATGATCTACAGCAGTGTTTCTCAACCTTCCTCATGCCGAGACCCCTTGACACAGTTCCTCATGTGGTGGTGACCCCCAACCATAACATTATTTCCCAATGGAAACCCCAACCATAACATTATTTCCCAATACAGTTACTTCGTAACTGTAATTTTGCTACTGTTATGAATTATAATGTAAATATCTGATATGCAGGATGTATTTTCATTCACTGGACCAAATTTGGCACAAATGATATGCCCAAATTTCAATATTGGTGGGCTTGGGGGGATTGATTTTGCTATTTGGGAGTTGTAGTTGCTGAAATTTATAGTTAAACTACAGTCAAAGAGCATTCTGAACTCCACCAACGATGGAACTGAACCAAATTTGGCACACAGAACTCCCATGAATAACAGAAAATATTGGAAGGGTTTGGTGGGGATTGATTTCAGTTTTGGAGTTGTAGTTCACCTACCTCCAGAGAGCACTATGGACAACATTAATGGATCTGGACCAAACTTGGCATAAATACTCAATATGCTCAAAGTTTGGGAAAAATAGACTTTGACATGTGAGAGTTGAAGTTGCTGGGATGCAGGCATGTAGCCGGGGGGGGGGCTCGGGGGGCTTCCGCCCCCCCCCAAATTCATGGTGGTCGCGAAAAGGCCTTACTGGTGCATTATTTAAACTGTTATGTTTATTCATATCATGATCTGATCACCATCTCAATATATCCCATATGCATGGGGGTATTGGGGTAATGATACAAAAGGTTTGCTAGGTAGACCCTCTTTCACTCAGACTCAGCCCTCCCAAATCAAAATCCTGGCTAAAACCCCCCCCCTGAATTTTTTTTACCCCCCCCCCCCCCCCCGAAACGAAATCCTGGCTACGGGCCTGCTGGGATGTATAGTTAATCTACAATCAAAGAGCATTCTGAACCCAGCCCATAAGGGATCTGCACTAAACTCGATATGCTACCTACATGGCCAACACTGATTACTAGTGGGGTGGGGGGGCTGTTTTTGAATTCTGGGAGTTGTAGTTCACCAACACAAAAAAGAAAGAGAAGGACAGGCAGAGAGATATTCTGCCTTTTCTGCCAAAAGGGTTCCTAAGACCACTAGAAATATGTGTTTTCTGATGGTCTTTGGCGACCCCCTGAAACCCTTTTGCGACCCCCTCAGGGGTCCCGACCCCCAGGTTGAGAAACACTGATCTAGAGGCATTCTCTCCTGATGTTTCGCCTGCATCTATGGCAAGCATCCTCAGAGGTTGTGAGGTCTGTTGGAACTAGGAAAAAAGGTTTATATATCTGTGGAATGACCAGGGTGGGACAAAGGACTCTTGTCTGCTGGAGCTAGGTGGGAATGTTTCAACTGACCACCTTGATTAGCATTTGATGGCCTGGCAGTGCCTGGGGCAATCTTTCGTTGAGAGGTGATTAGATGTCCTTGTTTGTTTCCTCTCTGTTGTTGTGCTGTCATAATTTGAGAACACAGAAATGCTGGACCACTCTCACAACCACCATGTCAGGCTACACGGGTCTTGGGTTGTGTTGGGCTACAGTTTACAGCACCATTGCCATAAAGAGTGTTGCCTAGAGAGGGATCAGCCTTGAAAGACCTCTGCAGCAGAGCCTCATTGGAAATAGTGTCTCTGCTTCTGATCTGCACTTATCAATCAGCCAAGCCGATCAATCCATATCACTTATCCATAGAGCTTAAAAGGAAGGGCAGCAAAGGCCAACCAAGAGGAGCCAGGGACTGAAGCGTGTCCTGGTGGAAAGATGGGAAGGGTGAGCTGGAGGTGGAGTGTCCTGAAGTGTCCCCTGGCGAGGAGGGTTGTGGGGTGATCCGGGGGTGCGATGTGTGAGGCTGGGGTCCTCCCTCGTGACGCCCGGCCTGGCCCCCACCCGTGAGACGGCTTTTCCTCCCCCCGCTCAGGGGTGGCATTCGCAGCCACGGCAGCCGGAGCTTTTTATATCAAAGCAAATTGAGGCCATGATGTGCAGTTCTGGCATTTTCTTGTTGAGGTGCGCATTCTGAGCACAGTTTTGCTCTTCAAAAATAACCCAAGATAAGGGGAGTTTGTACGGCGTGACTCACTGGGAGCGAAGAAGGAAGCCGCTGATTCGGAGCCTGGTGCCCACAGAGGGGCCTATTTATACGAGGCGGGGATGGGGCCTTGGGGCTGGTGCACTGCTGTGTGTGTGTGTGTGCGTGTGTGTATATATAAAATGGGGTGTGGTTGGGTGGGGGGAGTGAATCAGCCCTAGAGGAAAGCACCCTTGAGTTGGAGGGGAGCAGTGGGCAGCCTGGGCTCTGCACAACCCATGAACTTTGCCTTTCCCGGCTTGCATAACCCACGTGCTTCCCTCTGCTTCCTTTGCAGGACCTGGACCCTGCTCTACAATGGAAAAACTGCTCCTGTGCCTGCTGCTCATCGGCGTAGTGGTCAAGGCGCAGATCTGTCCGAAGCGGTGCGTCTGCCAGATCCTGTCCCCGAACCTGGCCACGCTCTGTGCCAAGAAAGGCCTGCTCTTTGTCCCGCCCAACATTGACCGGCGGACGGTGGAGCTGCGCCTGGCGGACAACTTTGTCACCAGCATCAAGCGGAAGGACTTTGCCAACATGACCAGCCTGGTGGACCTGACCCTGTCCCGGAACACCATCAGCTTCGTCACGCCTCATGCCTTCGCCGACCTGCGCAACCTGCGGGCCTTGCACCTGAACAGCAACCGGCTGAGCAGGATCACCCACGACATGCTGAGCGGGCTCACCAACCTGCACCACCTGATCCTGAACAACAACCAGCTGACCCTGATCTCCTCCACTGCCTTCGACGACGTCCTGGCCTTGGAGGAGCTGGACCTCTCCTACAACAACCTGGAGACCATCCCTTGGGACGCTGTGGAGAAGATGGTCAGCCTCCACACCCTCAGCCTGGACCACAACATGATCGACAGCATCCCCAAGGGCACCTTCTCCCACCTGCACAAGATGACCCGCTTGGACGTTACCTCCAACAAGCTGCAGAAGCTGCCGCCGGACCCGCTCTTCCAGCGGGCCCAGGTCCTGGCCACCTCGGGGGTCATCAGCCCCTCTACCTTTGCCCTCAGCTTTGGGGGCAACCCGCTGCACTGCAACTGTGAGTTGCTCTGGCTGCGGCGTCTCTCTCGCGAGGACGACCTGGAGACGTGCGCCTCGCCGGCCCTGCTCTCCGGCCGCTACTTCTGGTCGGTGCCCGAGGAGGAGTTCCTGTGTGAGCCGCCGCTCATCACGCGGCACACTCACGAGTTGCGGGTGCTGGAGGGCCAGCGGGCGACACTGCGGTGCAAGGCCCGCGGGGACCCTGAGCCCACCATCCACTGGATCTCCCCCGAGAACAAGCTCATCTCCAACGCCACCCGCTCGCTGGTCTACGACAACGGGACGCTGGACATCCACATCACCACCGTGAAGGACACGGGCAACTTCACCTGCATTGCCTCCAACCCGGCCGGGGAGGCCACCCAGTCGGTGGACCTCCACATCATCAAGCTGCCCCACATCGTGAACAGCACCAGCCACATCCACGAGCCGGACCCGGGCTCCTCGGACATCTCCACCTCCACCAAGTCCGGCTCCAACGCCAGCAGCAGCGGCGGCAGCGGTGGCAGCAATGGGGAGGCCAAAGTGAGCCAGGACAAGAAGGTGGTGGTGGCTGAGGCCACGGCCTCCACGGTCTTGCTGAGGTTCAACTTCCAGAGGAATATCCCAGGGATACGTATGTTCCAGATTCAGTACAACGGGACCTATGATGACTCGCTTGTTTACAGGTGGGGATCCCAAAACATGTCCACTCGTAAGCAGTGGAACCTGCCAAGGCTTATCCTTGGGCCCGTTGCTCCCTTTGACCCATGTGGGGGCAATGGTCCTCTCAAGGAATGGCCCACTCCGCCCCCATTTTGCCTCCCTTCAAATGTTGGATGTCTTCAGGTATGAAGAGTGGAGGTCTCTTGGGTTTGGTACACCGGGGTGGGAGCGGGGGCAGTTGGGTGGAAGACATGGCATCAAACAAGGCTTAGATCTTCGTGGGTATCTCTGTGTACAATGGTAGTGAGGAGCGTGTCGGTGGAGAGGCTGTTGGGGTGGGCCAGGGCAGGCATGGGACCGCCCTTCTGTGATGTGTGCCACCATCTCTGGGCTTCGGAGCAGGTGGTGGCTCAGGGCCGACTCTGATTGGCAGGGCAAGGAGGACAGTGAGCAAGATCCTAGTGGGAGCCCTCTTAGTGCCAGATTGGCAGAGTGCCCGGGGTGAGTAGGTGCGTTTAAGGGAGGTAGACCCCCATTCTCTCCATGGGGTTTGGTCGTCCCTCTGAAGGAGGAGTTTGGGGCCGTGGGATGTTGTGCCGGCTGAGAAGCTCTGAGAAGGTGCGCTTGGGCGAAGGGCGTGGAGGGTGTGACGAACAGAGGACACCACGCAGTGTGACATGTCCAGCCCTCATTTTGGGGGAAGGAATTGTGTGGATTTGGCTGTTGAAGTGGTGAGGAAGATGCAGTGCGTAAGAATATCCTTGGCAGGAAGCCACGGGAAATGCTACGGCTGCAGAGCAGAGTCCAACCAGAGACATCCTGGGAAGAAGCGGAGGAGACAGTGGCAGTTGCAAGTGCCATAGAGACCAGGCAGCGATGGCAGCACATGGTCCGGATCTTGAGTTTCTTACTCTTTGGGTGGGGCCCACATTGTGGCAGTGTTGGGCCCACCCTTGATGACTTGAGCCCAGATTCCCAAAGGTGTTCTTGCCCCCCATGGCTGGTTCCTTGAGGTGGGCTCTTGAGGTGCCTCCAAAGGCTGAAGCAAAGGGGATGGTTGGCTGGCAATGAGCTAGTTTTGTATTTTGGAGCTGGAACATGTATGTGCATGTGTGTGCGTGTGCCTGGGGGATGGCACGACCCTGTGACTGTGGAGCCCCTTCCTCAGAAATGTTCTCCTGGCCCCATCATTTGTTTTCTCGACATATCCCTCCAAGGTTTTGGGAGGTAGATTTGATTTTGGTTTTTTTCCTGCCGCTTCGTGCTGTCGTGTTTGTTCTCAGTTTCGCTCTGTGAAATGTGAACGCTTTCAGGTGTAAAGGTGTCAACACAGAAACAGGTCTGCCTGGGAAATCCACGCATTGCAGGATGTGTTGGGGGGGGGGGTGGGTGGGCGTTGGGACAAAATGCCATGCCAATGCCAGGAAGCTGCCCGTTCGGGGCGAGTTGGAGAGGGCGCCTGGAAGCGAGGGTCAGTTTCCGGTGGGGCGGCAGGCAAGAGCCGCKGCTGTTCCTGAATTTTGATTTGTGCTTATTTTGGGATAATCCGTGCTGACCTTTAATCCGCCAAGGTAATCTGTTTAGCAGAGTCAACCCAGCTAAGAAGACATTAACACCCTCCATGTGTCGGACGATGTGTGCGCATATGTGCATGTGTGCGCGTGTGTCGGCGGGGGCGGCATGGGTGGGGCCGCGGGCCCAGAGGTCACGTCCGTAGCCCCCCCCGCCCTCCCCATCACAAATCCCAGCCAACGTCAACCAAGGGAATGGCGGGGGCAGAGTTGTGTGGACAAAGTGTTGGATTTGCTAAGTGGATTTGCTTTGAAGCTGCTAATGAAGAGTCACACTTGATGTGATTTATCATATGTTTGTCCTCAGAATGTAATATATGTGCACAGGGAGGAGAGGAGCAGGCAGAACTTCACAAACAGATTAGCCAAACGCTTCAGCTCCTGCCTCCCTCCCTCCCTCCTTCAAATGGCTCAAAACTAATTAACGCGTAACCTGCCTTCTGAAAGGGGAGACGGGACTTCCCTTGGGTGTGTGTGTGTGTTTGCGCCCAATTTGGTAGAAGAAGAGGATGTGTGGGAGCAAGTGGGATCGAGAAGGAGCTTGAAGGGGTTGGACTCTTGGGCACCTATGGCAGGGCTGAGCGCATGTGCCCTGTGTTAAGCATGAGCTGATGGTGGGACACCGGAGAGGAAGGAACACAGGAGGCGACCATTTGAGGAGAGGTGAAGCCTCACTGCAATTGCTGCAGGTAATCAAAGGTGAGATCAAGAAAAGAAAGGGACCTGACTTTGGTAGAAGGGTCCCTAATGCAGACTCTCACCAAGTGTGGGTAAGGCACCTCATAGAATCCATAGAATCAAAGAGTTGGAAGAGACCTCCTGGGCCATCATCCAGTCCAACCCCATTCTGCCAAGAAGCAGGAATATTGCATTCAAATCACCCCTGGCAGATGGCCATCCAGCCTCATAGAATCCTAGAGTTGGAAGAGACCTCCTGGGCCATCATCCAGTCCAACCCCATTCTGCCAAGAAGCAGGAATATAGCATTCAAATCACCCCTGACAGATGGCCATCCAGCCTCTGTTTAAAAGCTTCCAAAGAAGGAGCCTCCACCACACTCCGGGGCAGAGAGTTCCACTGCTGAACGGCTCTCACAGTCAGGAAGTTCTTCCTCATGTTCAGGTGGAATCTCCTCTCTTGTAGTTGGAAGCCATTGTTCTATTGCATCCTAGTCTGCAAGGAAGCAGAAAACAAGCTTGCTCCCTCCTCCCTGTGGCTTCCTCTCACATATTTGTACATGGCTATCATATCCCCTCTCAGCCTTCTCTTCTTCAGGCTAAACATGCCCAGTTCCCTAAGCCGCTCCTCATAGGGCTTGTTCTCCAGACCCTTGATCATTTTAGTCGCCCTCTGGACACATTCCAGCTTGTCAATATCTCTCTTGAATTGTGGTGCCCAGAATTGGACACAATATTCCAGGTGTGGTCTAACCAAAGCAGAATAGAGGGGTAGCATTACTTCCTTAGATCTAGACACTATGCTCCTATTGATGCAGGCCAAAATCCCATTGGCTTTTTTTGCCGCCACATCACATTGTTGGCTCATGTTTAACTTCCTGTCCACGAGGACTCCAAGATCTTTTTCACACGTACTGCTCTCGAGCCAGGCATTGTCCCCCATTCTGTATCTTTGCATTTCATTTTTTCCTGCCAAAGTGGAGTATCTTGCATTTGTCACTGTTGAATTTCATTTTGTTAGTTTTGGCCCATCTCTCTACTCTGTCAGCGTCATTTTGAATTCTGCTCCTGTCCTCGGTCGATTCAGAGAGAGGCCTCATGACGCTCCCTTCTCTGCCTACATTCATGGCTGCTGCCTTGCAGGGCCTGCCCTTGACTGGCCCCTCTGGCTTTTTGGAGCCAGGACTGCTTCCCCATCCATGGGCATGGCAGGGCCTCATTGGCAGAGGAATGCCCAGGGATTCAAAGGCAAGGTGGCCAGTGTGTGTGTTGGGAGCATCGGACCAGGGAAACAGTCTCGGGTTGTGTTGGGCCACAGTTTACAGCACCATTGCCACAAAGAGTGTTGCCTAGAAAGGGATCAGCCTTGAAAGACCTCCGCAGTGGAGCCTCATTGGAAATAGTGCATCTGCTTCCCATTTTGGGAAGGAGAGTGCTCTGCATGCAGGAAGGAAGCCAAAGACCTGGAGTGGCCGAGGCCTCAGGAGAAGAGGAGACCAAGGAGGAAGCACCCCCCCCCCACCCCAGGGGTCCCCCTGCCTCCAGTGGTGCGAGATACTTGGAGAGTAGTCGATGCTTCTTCCCTTCCAACACAAAGGCCCTCCTCACGTTGTGTGCCTGTGGAGAGGGTCCAGCCCAAGAGTGACGCGGCTGGCACAGACAGGGTTGTTGTTGTTAATTTGTTCAGTCATTTCCGACTCTTCATGACCTTATGGGTGAGCCCACGCCAGAGCTCCCTGTGGGCTGTCACCACCCCCATCTCCTTCAAGCCAGGGTGTCCCCCTCAAAAAAACCATGACTTCTGTGCCTGCCAATTGGGCCCTCCTGTTTGGCTGGGAGGCATCTCTGAGAAAGTGGCGGCAGTTCTAGGGCCTCCTTTCTTTCCCTGAATTAAGTGATTGGCAGTTGCACGCACTGCTAATAACAGTAAAAGGCAAAGCAACCCCACAAAGTGGCTGTAGGCCCATATATATATATGTATTTGGGTCGTGTCCAAGTCCTCTTTTGTGCACATGTGGGCGACTCATTTGTAAGGCATTGGGGAAATCTTGAGTGTGTGTGTGTGTGTGTTTGTGTGCAGATGGTGTGCTTTGGTGTGGCCCCAGAGGGACTCCTTTCGGCCCAGTGCTGACCCCACTCTCTCCCTTCCCTGCAGGATGATCCCCCCCACCAGCAAGACCTTCCTGGTGAACAACCTGGCTGCGGGGACCACCTACGACCTGTGCGTGCTGGCCATCTACGACGACGGCATCACCTCCCTGACGGCCACGCGGGTGGTGGGCTGCATCCAGTTCTCCACGGAGCAGGACTACGTCCGCTGCCACTTCATGCAGTCGCAGTTCCTGGGGGGCACCATGATCATCATCATCGGGGGCATCATCGTGGCCTCCGTCCTGGTCTTCATCATCATCCTCATGATCCGGTACAAGGTGTGCAACAGCAACGGCGGGGGCCCCGGTGGGGGCAGCGGAGGCGGGCACCACAAGGCCACCAAGGTCAGCAACGTGTACTCGCAGACCAACGGGGCCCAGGGCCAGGGGCCCTCCGGGTCCAAGCAGGCCGCCATGGCCCACGAGGAGGGGCTCCAGTGCTGCAAAGTTGTCGGCGACAGCGCGGCGGTGCCGCCCTCGTCCTCGGACTCTTCCGGCCAGGACTCCTCGGGAGCCGGTGCCGCCGCCGCCGCCGCTACCTCTGCGACGTTGCCTCACACGTGGACTGCGGGCCCCTCCGGCTCCCAGAAGCTGAAGCGCAAGTCCATGCCAAAGCCCGGCGGCGAGCTGCTGGTGGCGTCGTGCGAGGGTGCCAGTGCCGCCTCCTCCGCCGGCCTGGAGTCCCAGAACACCAACCGGAACAACTCCACGGCGCTGCAGCTGGCCGGGGCCCGGGGTCCGGACTGCGCCCGGGCGGGCCCCTCCCTGTACAGAAGAGCACAAGCCAAGCCAAGTAAGTTCCTCACCTTGCCGGCCGACCCCTCCCGGGCCAAGCGCCGGTACTCCCTGAACGGAGGGGAGGCGGTGGAGTACTGCTGCCGCGTGAGCGCCTCCCCCTCCGCGCAGCCGGGCGGATTCTGGTCCAAGCGCAGCCTCTCCATGAACGGGATGCTGCTCCTGCCCGCAGCGGGCGGCTCCGAGGCGGACAGCGGCAAAGCCACTTTCTCCAGTTCGGAGTGGATATTGGAAAGCACTGTGTGACCGCTCTGCTGCCGTGTGTGGTGGTGGTGATGATGAGGAGGATGAGGATGATGGGTTTTTCTAATTGAGTCAAACGGGGGGAGGGGGCAGGCGGGGGGAGTGCGGAGGCCGCCCCAGCTCCGCCAACTTCCCTTTCCAAACATTGCTTGAGGACTCCCCCCCACCCCCCACTGAGCCGTCCGCCGGGGGCCTCCCGCCCTCCCCCCCCGTGTCCGTGCAAAGTTGTGCACACGCCACTGAGCACCTCCACATCCTCCTCCCGTTTGGGTTTTCGTTTGGTCTGATCCTCCCGACAAAGGCAGATCCTTCCTCCAAGAGGGAAAAAGCATGAAAACAGCACCAGTGCCTTCCCCTTCCCTCGGATGGGCATTCTGGTCCCTGGCTGGCAGGTTGTTGGGAACACACACACGCGGGGGCCGGATTGGCCCAAAGGGATTGCCCCCCCCCCGCTCACAGCAAGCGGCAACAGCGGATCCATCCGTGCTGCGCAAAAAGGGGGAAGAAGAGAAGAGTATTTTTCAGAAGCGGTTGAGTGTCTTTTTCTTTCCCTTTCCCAGTGACAATGGTGTTGCCTTCGTTTTCCAGGCAGATGCTGTACAAAACCAACAACTCTGTGTTGTTATGTTGTGTAAAATAAAATTATTCCATCCATACACGCGGTTGGTGTGACAGGGAAGGGGCCCCTTGGAATCGGCCTTGGCGGGGGCCCCTCTCGGCTCCTTTGCCCCACCTGCATTGGGGGCCTTGGGGGGGGGCAGGAGCTTCTGGGGTGGCTGGCGGCACCGCTGGATCTGGGGACCCCCCCCCCCGGTGCCGTGTTGTCTATGGAAGGGCCCATGGGAAGGCCACCAAAATCATCAAAGGTTTGGAAGCCATGAATCCCCCTGAGGAATGGAATTGGGAGCTAGGGAGGTTTAGCTTGGAGAAGAGAAGGCTGAGAGGCTGAAGGACACGAGAATCGGCCTTGGCGGGGGCCCCTCTGTGGCTCCTTTGCCCCACCTGCATTGGGGGCCATGGGGGGGGGGCAGGAGCTTCTGGCGGCACCGCTGGATCTGGGGACCCCCCCCCCCTGGTGCCGTGTTGTCTATGGAAGGGCCCATGGGAAGGCCACCAAAATCATCAAAGGTTTGGAAGCCATGAATCCCCCCGAAGAATGGAATTGGGAGCTAGGGAGGTTTAGCTTGGAGAAGAGAAGGCTGAGAGGCTGAAGGACACGAGAATCGGCCTTGGCGGGGGCCCCTCTGTGGCTCCTTTGCCCCACCTGCATTGGGGGCCATGGGGGGGGGCAGGAGCTTCTGGGGTGGCTGGCGGCACCGCTGGATCTGGGGACCCCCCCCCCCGGTGCCGTGTTGTCTATGGAAGGGCCCATGGGAAGGCCACCAAAATCATCAAAGGTTTGGAAGCCATGAATCCCCCCCAAAGAATGGAATTGGGAGCTAGAGATGTTTAGCTTGGAGAAGGCTGAGAGGCTGAAGGACACGAGAGAGATAGCCGAAGGAAGCCGCATTGAGGAGAAGGGGGCAAGCCTGTTTCCAAGTTTAAGAGGCTTTTAAGCAGAGCCTGGATGACCATCTGTCAGGAGTGCTTGGATTGTGTTGACCTAGGTTGTTGTAGGTTTTTTCGGGCTATATGACCATGTTTTAGAGGCATTCTGTCCTGACGTTTCGCCTGCATCTATGGCAAGCATCCTCAGAGGGAGTGAGGTCTGTTGGAAGTAGGAAAAAGGGTTTATATATCTGTGGAATAATGACCAGGGTGGGACAAAGAAATCATTCCACAGATATATAAACTCAAGGCCATTCCTTTTCACTGGCCGTTTTCCTGGGTGAGTTTGAGGGGCTCCTTGTGCTTCTCCAAGTGCACAGTGGTTTTGTTCATGTTGGGGCTTCTTCTGTCAAGAGGAGGCTGATGCGCATCCAGAATGGGCGGAGGAGGAGGAGGGACATGGCTAAGCCTCAGCAGCGCAAGGAGGTGCCCGGATCTTATTCACTTCTGCCCCAGTTTCCCCCCAAAGCAGGAAGCAATACATTGCAAAAACAGTCCAGGTGACAAACCTATTAATAATAATAATAATAATAATAATAATAATAATAATAATGCCATTTGTACCCCGCTACCATCTCTCCGCTCACATAAGGCCGAGCCCACAATACATCAGTAAAAACAATAACAACAACAATACAAAGCAATTAAAATAAATCTCAAACACAAATAGCATAGACATTGGCAATGGCACAACACACATTTAAAGTCTATGGCTGGGCCGAATGTAATTAAAATTTAAAATCATGCTGGGCCTGAAGAAGATAGGGAGGTGGGGCGTTGGTGGGAACATACAAACAATCCTAAATCAGGTTAAGGTGCTTTAGAGGACATAGTGCTAAGGGCTCATTATTCTGGGAAGGCACACTGGAATAACCATGTTTCAAGCTCCTCCTAAAGACCGCCAGAGATGGGCGTGCCTGATGTCCTTGGGAAGTGAGTTCCAGAGTTGAGGGGCCACCACCGAGAAGGCCCTCTCTCTCATCCCCGCCAATTGCGCCTGCAAAGGAGGCGGGAGCGTGAACAAGACGTGTGGGTTCGTACACAGAAATCTGGTCACGCAGGTAGGCGGGTCCCAAACCGTTCAGGGCTTTGTAGGTAAGAACCTGCACCTTGAATTGGGTCCGGAAAATATAAAATCATTAACAAAGTTATGAATACATATAAAATGGTTTAAAAATTATTGAAGAATGTATAAAGTAAAAACATGACATATGTAAAAAACATTAACCATCATTAAAAGGTAGTGTACAGACCTTAAAAACATCTCTGCACCATATTAAAACTAGCCCAAAGCCAGGTAACACCAAGACGTGTGAAGGTGGTGTTGGGGGCAGAGCGGCGATGGGGCCGAGCGGGCCTCTCTGGGGAGGGATCCTCAGGGTCACCAAGGCCCCCTTGCTGCCCCCCTTGCTGCCATCCAATGAGCCTTGGAAGGTGGTGGGTGTGGAGAAAGGTTGCCCCCAAAGATCTCAGGGGCCTCAGCATCTCGTGAAGCAAGATATGCTACTTCCATTGGCCCGGACCCAAGTTTTTGCAGTTCAAACCAGCACCCTGAATGGTGGACCATTAGCCATTGCAGCTCTTGCCAGAACCTCGGGTATTCCCTGTAATCAGCCCCAATTTGCAAAATCCAGTTCAGACCCTAAAGAAATGGGAAATCCAGTAGAGTGGTCATTAAATGTGGACAATCTGCTTGTCTCTGGACTCCTTCTGGCAAAAAGAGCCAAGGAAGGGAGCCCGGTCCTTGGTGGGGGAAGCTCCTTCCTTCTTTGGAGGCTTTGAAGCAGAGGCTGGATGGCCATCTGTCGGGAGGGCTTTGGACGCAATTGTCCTGCTTCTTGGCAGAATGGGGTTGGACTGGATGGCCCATGAGGTCTCTTCTGACTATGATTTGATGATAGATGGGGCATTTTGCTCCTCACTTGCCTGGCTCTGGAGGCTCAAGCCCAGCCCTGGCTCAGGTGGCTTCTATGGAGGGGCTGCCTCCTCTTTTTTCTGTTGCCTTTATGCAGCCCCCTTCCCAATCTTCTTCTGGGGGGTGTCTTCCTGTCCTTTTGGATTATGTTGCTGTGAAACTCAGACAYAAGGCCAAACTGAGGCAGACTTCCAGGGAAGGGCTCCCGACCCCTTGCCCAGCCATGTGGATGGGTTGGCGTCCCCAGTGAGGTGGGGTGATGGTGCTTTTGTGGGGCCCTTCCAGGTGCAGAGAGGGCTCCAGAGGGATTGGGGGGGGGGGGCTGGGCCAGGCTTGCAAAGGCCTTCTCCTTCCTGATGCTCTACACCTGGTGCCAGCAGAGGAGGCACTTAAGCAGCGTCTCCGGCTCCCTTTGGAGGCTGCTGCTCATTGTGCTTGCAAGCCTCGCCCGTCTCTCAGTCCTGCGGTGGAGGCGTCCGATTACAGATCGCAGCCAAAGGTTGCTTGGCAGTGTGGCTGGAGAGGCGCTGAGTTTCACCTTTCCTCCTTGCGTCTTGTGCCCTTGGGCTCTCGCACTGATGTGGGCTTCTTCCTTCTGCCTGGTGGTGCCACTGGTGTGGGCCGTGTGGGTCTGATGAGGAGGTGTGCCCACCACACCCTTCAGTCACCAGAGAGTCCGAGACTGGTCAGTCTGGGCCAGAGTTGGCTCTCCTCATCCAGGGACCCCCTTCATTGGGCTCTCTCCCCCCTCCCCCCGGCTGCCCCTCACTGGAGTCACACCAGAGTGAAAGGAACCACAATCTTTCAACCCATCAATTACCACATATGTTCACTTGAGTGGATCCTGTGGGTGCCTGGTGCTGCAGAGGTCTTCCTGCAGAAGCAGCTGGAGATGTTTTGTGTGGCAAGGAAGGCCTGCATTCAACTGAAGGTTGGTGTCGCTGTGCATGCAGGCAGTGTGTAGGCCGATGAGGTGCGCCTGCACAAGAGGTGCACCAGAGTGATATTTATTTATCATGTCAGAGGCAACCAGACCATGGTATTACATTTCTAACAGAACAAAACAAACAAACAGAAAAAAACCCACAGCATTTGCAAACTTGGTAGTTGATTAAATGTCCTTTGACCATTATCTGGCCACTTGGAGTGCTTCTGGTGTTACTCTAAGAAGGTCCTCCCTGGTGCATGTGGCAGAGCTCAGGGTGCATTGCAGCAGATGGTCAGTGGTTTGTTCCTCTCCGCATTGAGCCTGCCACTTTTGGACTCTCGCTTGCTGGGGTGTTCCGGTGAGTGTCTCTGTAGATCTTAGAAAACTATTTCTTGATTTAAGTCGTTGACGCACTGGCTGATACCCAAACAAGGGGTGAGCTGGTACATGCACTCGATTCTTCTTTGGCTTTCTGTTCTGTTGTGCAGTGTTGCCATTGAGTGCAATGGTTGCCTGGCTCAGTTAATGCAGACTCACCTTCATGTGCTTGAGGGAGGGCTGCCCAGGTGTCTTCATGTGATTTAAGGGGGAGCCACAGAGTGCCGAGGGGAAAGGCAGGCAGGGCAGCTGATGGGGCTTCATTTG